CTGCTCGCCTCTAGGCCCTGTCCTGTCACCGTCGAAACACTTCCGCTCCTCTGACGAATATTAACACTCGTACTTTACTTTACTCTAAATATTGGAGATGGAGCAACTTGAAATTTGCTTATGAAAATTTTCTTCTGAAAAGTGTTTATTTCGTCGCTTTAGTGCAGCATACACAGTAGTATCGTTGATTCTACATTATTTTAGACCCGTGTGCATGTCGGAATTCTTTGCGAGCCCGAATAAATTTTATAAATATAAATATTAAAGTATGTAAATATAAAAGTATAAACTTCCTTATGTAAGCATATAAATATACTATACATAAGGAAGTTTATATATATCTTAATATGCACTATGATGATCGTTAAAAATGACTCATTGACACTTTATAAATATTTCCTGAAGTTTGTGTGGTTTTGGAATCGAGACTCTTGAAATGCTATAGTTTCAAGTTAGGTGATAAATATGTTTGCATTTGTTTATTATGTGACATAGATATTTCATTGCCATACTCTGCGCTATAACTCGGCTTAAGTTTTGGATAGGATTTATAAAAAAATTCCATTTTGTCGCTTTGGTGCAGCATACACAGTAGAATCGTTGATTCTGCAATATCATGAACCATTGTTTATGTAGGAACTCTTTGCCTAAACGAACACGTTTTAAAATTAAACAATTTACAGTATTCTTGAGTGAAATTTATTTATATTATGCAATGTGCACTATGATGACCATTAAAAATGACTTATTGACACTTTATTTATATTTCCTGGAGTTCGCGTGGTTTTTGAAGCCTGACACTAGGATTGCTTGGGAAAGATAGGATTTATAAAGAATTTATCTCCAGTTGCCAGATCAGAATGTCTCAGCCGTAACTTAACCTATCACCCCGGTCGGAAATATCCTAATTTCATTCACATCCTAAACCAACGAGTTACTACAGACAATTTGGCGTAGTCGACCATGTCCATACGGTCCTATTTGAGAGATAGAGAGAGAGACTTTAAATCCCAGTGTATTAGTGACTTACTTATTCATATTAAATATTGATATACACGATTTCTATTTATTACTATGAGTGGTATTAGAGATTATTTTCGTTTCTTTCCAATTGTATTGAATTTCAATAGCAGTGAATGGAGTAGCAGTGTCTAACATTGGTGACGATTTTCTAGAGCTAGAGGAAAATGAAACAAAAATCATTGAATGAAAAAACTATGGCTCGAAAGATTGCGAGCAAGTAAGCATCCTGTCATTGAAACACATCGATACAAAAGAATGCGAAGGTTTATGCATGGATTAAAAAATTGTTTACCTATGTTTGGTTTTAATTTAGAGGAGATTATAGCATTTCAAATTTTCAAGTATGGATTATACTTTATCACCAAATAGAACGAAGAACAATTGTAATATGTGATCAATAATCTGCGTGATACAATAAGGAATTGAGATCAGCGGAAATGTCAATAAATTAGCCTGAAGAAAGAGATATGCATCATAATTTCTGGCTACATTATCACTTTAGACCTTAAGATTATTGTTCTTCCAAGTTTCCATGGCGACTAGCCATGGAGTATACAATTATATAGCTCAACATATTTTGTCGATTAATTGGAGTGTTTTTACTTAGGCAAGTTGATTGTTCAGCTGTCCAACTAAACATAAGCGTTTGATACATATTTAGTCGTATCCTCATACGACTATACATGTATAGTCATTTGATACATATATGGTCGTATAGTCATATTCTTCATAGTATATAGTATGGAGTTTCCAGGTATCAAGGGCTTAAGATCCACCATGTGCTCCACGTGTTGGAAATCCTCAACGTGCTCCACGTGGCGAGGTTTACCCCTGTAGACATTGTCGTATTTGCATCCCCTGGCCACCGCCGATCGATTTGTCTGCGTTGCAATGAATTTGAAGTTACTTGTAGCTACGTAAGCTATGAAAACTCCACGGAAATGAATATAAACATCAGCGATCTATAACAACATCATTTGGGGGAGGAGCGCAAGAGCTAGGTTTTGCTGCCTATGAAACTAAAAATTGCATTATTGATGTTTTTACATGGTCCATGTTCACTGACAGCTTATCTTGCTCTGGTAACCAGGTTACAAGTAACGAAATAAGAAAAAAAACCTCTGCTAAAGGAGGTAGAGGTAAGCTTGAACAGATGTTGAAATGTACATATTCTCTTAATAATTAGCTCTGACCAGAAGTTGACCACTCGAAAATTCAATACCCGCGTCAGCCTTATACAAAACTAACGTGGACCTAACGTACGTGGACCCTCGTATGACGTACCCATGCAATGCACGTACGCATGATGATAGGAGACACCGCTGTTATCGGCCGTATGCGTGGGACGCGCGCATACGGCCACGCCTCTGAGCTGAGTTCCCATGCTAATACAAATAAAGTTTTTCATTGTGAGTGACATATACGTGCACATTTACGTGTTTTAATACCTATAACGTATCTTCGTTTACCGGTACTGCCTGTAGGCGTAGTCCGAAGTGGAAGTAGAACGGTATGAGTTTTAGCTCGGATACCATCAGTTACTATGGCCCGTACTTCCAAAACTCGCTCAAGTACAATCAGCGGCATTGCATGTAGCGGGCCAGCGTTTGGCCGCGATTGCAACACTGTGCGTTTATTCAAAACGCCACATTTCTCCCAAAAAGCCTAAAAAAATAAGAAACAAACATCTTTCTTTGGAAGTAGGGCTTAGTTAGTCGTTAGCAAAGATCCAGCCTGAACCATCTTTATTAACTGGCTCGTGTAGCTCACAATTTTTGCCATTTCTGTGATTGTATTATGTCTGTAAACCTCTATTGATGTCTCCAATTCGACTTGATAGATTACTAAGCTTTCAGTTCATTTTTACATTGGCATCAACTCAGGGCAAGGTTACGCTTATCTCTTGAGTAATAAATTATACCATGTGCCATTTAAAATATTCTAAGTCATTTCCTTCCATCCTCGTATGTTAGGGCCCGATGACAGAAGCATCCAAGTATTGTAAACGTAGCTTTCACGTACCGCTACAGCATTAGTCCACGTAACGGCCAATTTCCCGTCTGTGATTGGTATGTACAGCATTAAAAGCCATAATTGATTGGCTAGCAGAGTTGCGAAATCGGAACTAATTTTTATAGTAAGGCCTGCAGGGCATCTTTTAGCGAGTTTATGCACTTCTACCACTAAGGCACTGTGCAATTAAGTATTACAGAATAAAAACAATGTGTATATAGACAACTTATAACCCCCACTTTAAGAATGTTTGTCGGGAACGGTTGTAAATGATCTCTGCAGTAACAAGATGTCACAAGTTCAACGAGTTCACTGGCAGAAAAACTAATTACAATGATGATGAGTTTTACGATGACCATGACTTCCAGTATCACGTACACGATTTTTCAACCTAATCAATGATAGGGTTGCCTACGACGTCGCATTTGTGTTCTGAGTAAAGGTTTCACATCAGTTGCAGGGAATTGTTGGTCTTGACTGATTGCGTTATCGACACATGGCGAGAACTTGGCGATGAGAAGAAAACAAAAGTGCAGGCACATGCATCGAAAAGAATATTCAAGAGTTTTTGCTATTTCCTGCGAACAACTCTTGCGCTCATGTCAACGTTGTTACAGTTCAAACATCAACAACAAATATTGCGATAATCCTAACTTCCACTCCACCGAAAAGGTCCTGAAAAATATGCTCACTAATAAAATATATGGTGAACCTTAATCCATATCCAGGAAGTATTTTAAAAGCTTTGCCTGTAGTTTATCCTCAACTCGCAATTTTGCCGCCAATTTACTAATGAAAAATAATTTGCCCGATAGAAGAATTCAGTCACTAATACTGGGAGTACTGTGAACTCATTTACAAGTCTGGTTACTGCGCAGTCGTACAAGTTACATCAGTTAATACTAAAAATACCGTGGTCGTTACCGTGTTGATGGTTGCTGCCGTGTTGATGGTCGTTACCGTGTTGATGGTCGCTACCGTGTTGATGGTCGTTACCGTGTTGATGTCGTGTTGATGGTCGCTACCGTGTAGATGGTCGCTACCGTGTTGATGGTCGCTACCGTGTTGATGGTCGCTACCGTGTTGATGGTCGCTACCGTGTTGATGGTCGCTACCGTGTAGATGGTCGCTACCATGTGATTGTAGGATAACATATGTTATAGTACAGTATTTTATTTTTTTTTTCAATAGGTGCCGTTTACTCAAAATTTATATTTAGGTATTTTCTAATTTAGATATTTTCTCAGAAAAAAATGAATGAATTAGCAGGCGATATTTTGTGCGTACAATGTTACCTATGTTGGTAATAGACTGGACAAGTATCAATGAGTTTCATGAATTTTCCTGGGATTTATAGAGCTCTGAATAATTTTTATTCATTTTCCATTAAGTTTGACCTCGTTCCACACAAAAAGTAATGATAATAAACAATTGAGACAAAATTTTATAGAAACACTTGCTCACGTTCTAAAGACACCTCCATTTTAACCCAATAGCTGGCATAGACATGCCACAGCAGTGATTTGAAGAAGGAGATTTTGCTGTGCATGATCGGGGACATTTTCATAACCACTCCATTGGGGTTTCCTATAATTTTAAAAGTTCAATTAGGTCCATGACATGATATGACATGACACCACATAACATAACAGAGAGACACCAAAAAAATTTTTGGAACGCAAAAAGACATTTCAAAATAATTTCTTCAAATACCTTTACACTGAAACTTCGAGTCATATTTAGTTTTGTAATGATTTACTAACGTTAATTGTGAGAGATTCACATGGGGAACAGGTGCTGGTTTTTCCATGCTTATCTTTCTTTGATGCGGCGGCATGCCAGCCTTGTTCACTTCTAGTCTATTTAGATTTTAACATTCTGGAATTTGCGCACCGATATGATACTGAAAAATATAATGGAATATATAACAGGGCAATCGCCCACATATGCCGCTACAGGTATTTAAGCAAGTGTCTCGTTCAGCCGCTGCATTAAAAGTCACCAGTCGAGAAGATGGGATCTTTGGTACGCGTCTTACCTGCCCTCGTGGCCGCGATATCTTGCTTCACGGCGCTGGCCATCGGTGAGGACCTTTGGATGTGCTAGTGAGGGATTAAGTGGCGATTTATTGAATGACAAATGAATGTCATTCAAAAAATTTTATTTCACCATTTGTGTCTCAGAATTAAGAAGTAACTTACAAAACTGTCTATTTACAATTCTACTAATGAAATTTATTACATCCCCCCCAGACATCCCCGACCTGCGGTACCTGAAAGCCTACATCAACGATGACCCCGACGGCCCCTACCACGAGTTCCTGGACTACTCCCCCGACCTCAGCGTCCAGGGCATGGATAACTCCATTAGACGCGTTTGTTTAACTGGACAGTGAGTGAATATTTTTCAACGACGTTTTCCAGTTTCGGCGAAGTATCATGAACAAATCGAAAACCGTGAAGGAATATTAGACTGGTGATTGTTAAGGAAGTTCAAGTGACTCTCTTTTCATAGATCTTCAAGTTGATCATCAAGTTGAGTGTCCCGTTGGTCCTCCGAACTCCAGTGTCACCTCTGAGTCATAGTAACTGCATTAGTGTAACTCATTATGTGATTGTGAAACTGGAAATACGATCAGGGGAGATTTAGTACTAAAGTCCAAATTTTACCTATTCGTAAAATTATTTGAAACTTACCCCCGTCTGCTTCAACGGATGTTTAGGCTAGCAAATATTATTTGCTATTATATAATTAATGCTTTTCGCTAGAGATATTTCTCCTCTTTCGGTATGTACTAAATCATTATAAATCTGCCGTATCCTACTTTCAGATGGTTGCTTCACGGCGAGCACTACTACAGCGGATATGAAGCTTTTTATCGTTCTGTCAACGGCTGCTACAACCTGTCTTCCAGTGCTTCTGTAAGCAAACAGAAAGATTTAAAACTCGAATGCATTTAATAAATGGTAATGTGAAAAAAGCTAAGTGTATGCATCACAGCTAGTGAATGTATCACAGTGGATGTATCAGCATTAACTACTATCGCCTGGCAGATATCTTCTCTGCGGTACGCGGGCAGCCCCTACGGCCTGGACGACGTCTACTACAACCTCTACGAGGGGATAAACTGGGGGGGCAATGAATTCAAAGGCAACACAAACGCCCCGACCGTCGCCAACTTGGACATGAATGTGTCCTCCTTGTCCATCAGTGGACAATCGCCGTGGACTTTCTTCACGTACGTCTTGTGTTATAATTCAGCCCGAATATCTGAGGGACGGTCATATGCTTTGATTAAATTTTGCGTCTTTTACGATATGGTAGAAATAAGTTTACACATCTGATGATCAGCGCAGTAAGCAATCAGGTTCATCACAAGTAAAAATACATGACTTCTAAATGGGAGCCGCAGTGCAATGTAAATAAGACTAAACGATTGCAGGTGTATTAACAGTTAACAGCCTTGTTTAGGTAGCACAGGTACGAGAAAATTGACGCTAAGATGGGTTTTTAGAAGTAAGGATCTATGTGCTACATGATGAGGATACGTGCCTCATATAAAGTGAAGAAACGTACCTCATAGAGCGTGGGTTCGTGCCTGATGAAGGTTAATGGCGTCTTTGATGCGCAGGGGCCTGCAGTACGCCGGGGAGGCCGTGTGCGTGTACCCTTACCTTCTCACCAACAATGGCGTTGATTTGCATTACAGAGAAATTGCATACGTAAGAAAGCAGAAGGAGTGAGCGCGTTTTTTTGTTCTAGTAAGAGTTTTCCTTCCGTTGATAGCGAGCGCATCATGCTGTTCATTTCAGCGATAAAATAATTGTGTGCGTGTTATTTTTATTTGTATTTGAATACGAAGATGCAAACTGTTAATTTATTAATGCTAAAGGGACCATGACCAAGCTTGCTCTGTGTAAAATTGCAGGTAATCAAATTTCTTCATTGTGATTAATAATTAAAGATTAAGGTGAATTGTTTTGGGGACTTGGTAGCATCAATGCGAAATCGACAGTGCCATGCTCCATGACTGAAGGCTTTTTCTTTTATGTACGCTAACCTGAGAATGCTGCTTAACTCACCGCAGCAAGTTAACCCGAAGTGAGTTCAGCAGCATTCTCAAGTTAGCCTACACGAGTCACCATATTGTGTACTGCGGGTCACCATGTCGCCATAGCAGGATATATCGACGAGATGAGAAACATAACTAGCAAACATCAACGAAGTGCTCATGACTTTCTAGCGCAGGCAAAGCTGCCGAACTTATTTTTAGGGGGTTTTGTTAACACTTATCATACTCATTTCATGCACCTCAATGTTAGACCGAGCATTTTTTACTCTCCCAAGATAACATCGCTGGGCATCCCGGACAACTCGATCAGGTCGGTGGCCAAGGGCTGCCTCACCGACAACGTCTACAGGGGCGACCGCCCCCACCAGGGGGAGCGCGGAGACCCGGACGGACATTAGGACATCCGACAAGTGCTGCATGAAGTCGGAGACCTGCTGCCTTGATAACTAAATGAATATATGATTCCAAACGACATACAGACATTTGTCTTCCACGCTTTGGAATCACAATTACATAATGAAAAAATGCTGCCTACAGAATACCCTTGTCAATAACTTGATAATTTTATCAAATTGCCGATATTCATAGCAGTTTATAATGCGATTCAAAAATTTTCTTAATTGAGAGGAATAATGTGTTCAGCAAAGCCCAAATGAGAAATTAACTAAAAATTACAAATTTGCCTTATTCATTGTACAATAATATAATTTTTTTATATGTATAAATTTTTTAAATGAAAATTTCTCTAGTCAATTTTGTTAATTAATTTTTGGTGAGCTAAAAGATTTTTTTAAATACCAAACATACTGAGGAATTATGACGAGGATATTTCTACATTATTTTCAAGGCCAGAAGAACTGAAGAACGGAACGCTCGTGACTTCGGATATCTGTGTCATTAAGACTGCGTTCATAATTAATTGCGTCTTTCATGATCATTATGACTGCATTGTGCATCATTATGACTGCATTGTGCATCTTCATTATGACTGCATTATGTATCATCATTATGACTGCACTGTGCATCATCATTATGACTGCATTGTGCATCATCATTATGACTGCATTGTGTATCATCATTATGACTGCATTGTGCATCATTATTATGACTGCATTGTGCATCATCATTATGACTGCATTGTGCATCATCATTATGACTGCATCGTGCATCATTATTATGACTGCATTGTGCATCATCATTATGACTGCATTGTGCATCATCATTATGACTGCATCGTGCATCATCATTATGACTGCATCCCTATCGAAATTCGAAGACCTGTCAGCCGCTGGCACACGGACGCCCCAAGTTCTTATGGCCGGGTAAATTAGAAGCTCTATGTCCGCATTAGGTTCCGGTTGCCGTAGCGAAATAAGCGCCGAAATGGAATCTTGTGAAATTACTCGTCGAGCTTGGGGCGATCGTGGGGCGCGCGTATTTGGTACCTGATACGTTCGGGACAGACACGGCCGAATATGAAAAATGCTTAAAAAAATGCCCCCTCCCTTCCCCC